GTGCGCAGGGCGACCAGTGCAGCCGACGGACAAGCGAAAACAAACAACAACAAACAATACCAGTGAGTTGAAACAGCCGAGGGGCCGAGCGACCGAAAGGCGGCGGGCGGGCCTGGGGCGACCAGTGCAGCCGACGGACAAGCGAAAACAAACAAAAACAAACAAAACCAGTGACTTGGAACAGCCGAGGGGCCGAGCGACCGAGCGGCGGCGGGCGGGCTGGGGCGACCAGTGCAGCCGACGGACAAGCGAAAACAAACAAACACAAACAAAACCATGTATGGGGCCAGCCGAGGGGCCGAGCGCCCGCGGGGCGGCGGGCGAACCTGGTGCGACCAGCGCAGCCGACGGACAAGCGAAAACAAACAAAACCAGTGAATTTGGTCAGCCGGGGGGCCGAGCGCCCGCGGGGCGGCGGGCGAGCCTGGGGCGACCAGCGCAGCCGACGGACAAGCGAAAACAAACAAAACAAACGAAACGGTGGGAAGGAGCCAGCCGAGGGGCCGAGCGACCGCGGGGCGGCGGGCGAGCCTGGGGCGACCAACGCAGCCGACGGACAAGCGAAGACGAACAACAACAAACAAAATCAGGGAATGGGGCCAGCCGAGGGGCCGAGCGACCCGACAGGCGGCGGGCGTGCGCAGGGCGACCAGTGCAGCCGACGGACAGGCGAAAACAAGCAAAAACAAACAAACCCAATGCATTTGGGCAGCCGAGGGGCCGAGCGACCGCGGGGCGGCGGGCGAGCCTGCGGCGACCAGTGCAGCCGACGGACAAGCGAAACCAAACAAAAACAAACAAAACCAGTTAATTGGGCCAGCCGAGGGGCCGAGCGACCGCGGGGCGTCGGGCGAGCCTGAGGCGACCAGTGCAGCCGACGGACAAGCGAAAACAAGCAGAAACAAAGAAAGCCAGGGAATGGGGCCAGCCGAGGGGCCGAGCGACCGAAAGGCGGCGGGCGAGCCTGGGGCGACCAGTGCAGCCGACGGACAAGCGAAAACAAACAAAAACAAACAAAACAAGTGAATTGGGCCAGCCGAGGGGCCGAGCGACCGAAAGGCGGCGGGCGTGCGCAGGGCGACCAGTGCAGCCGACGGACAAGCGAAAACAAACAGAAACAAAGACAGCCAGGGAATGGGGCCAGCCGAGGAGCCGAGCGACCGAAAGGCGGCGGGCGGGCATGGGGCGACCAGTGCAGCCGACGGACAAGCGAAAACAAACAACAACAAACAAAACCAAGGAATGGGGCCAGCCGAGGGGCCGAGCGACCTCGGGGCGGCGGGCGAGCCTGGGGCGACCAGCGCAGCCGACGGACAAGCGAAAACAAACAAAAACAAACAGAACGGTGGAAAGGAGCCAGCCGAGGGGCCGAGCGACCGAAAGGCGGCGGGCGGGCCTGGGGCGACCAGTGCAGCCGACGGACAAGCGACAACAAACAAAAACAAACAAAACCAACGCATTTGGCCAGCCGAGGGGCCGAGTGACCGAAAGGCTACCAGTGCGATCGACGGACAAACGACAACAAGCCAGAACAACCGAAACCAGCCAAGGAATGGGGCCATCCGAGGAGCCGAGCGACCTAGCGCTACAGCGCGCCGCTAAGACAGGGCCCGGAAACTTGTAAGTAATCTACTTCTTGTAATTGCTGTTGCTGTTGTTTTTTTGGGCGGCCCCGAATGCAATCTACTTCTTCCGCCTTCCTACTTCATGTTTCTACCTACTTCTTCCGACCGGTGGGTATATGTGTGTATGTATGTAGTATTGTATGTCTGTATGTATGTATGCATGCATGCATGCATGTATGTATGTGTGTACGTGTAGATGGTTCGGCAACTAGAACTTGTGTATGCGTATGTACATGCATGTGTATATGCATACGTAAGCATATGTTTACATATATAATTATATATGTGTGTGCATGTGTCTACGTATATGCATATGTGTATGTATACTCCTAGGCATACGTATACGTATACGTCTATGTATGTGTGAATGTATACGTAAATGTATATATGTATTGGTATAATTATACGTGTACGTGTCTGTGCATGTGCATGTATGTGTATGTATACTGATGCATATATATATATATATATATATATATATATATGGATGTGTAAATGTAAGTGCATATGTACAATGAAATGTGCATGTATATGCACATATCTATGTATATGCGTATGTACATGTAAACGTGTACGTGTACGTGTATGTTTATGTGTACGTGTATGTACACATGTGTACGTATATGTGTACATGTTTATGTTCATGCCTATCTAAGTATCTGCATATGCGTATGTATACGCATGTGCATGTGTAAATGCATATGTATACGATTATACATGTGTATGTGTAAAGGTGTTTGTATACGACTGTGCATGTGAATCTGTGTATGTATGTGTATACGTGTATGTGTATAGATATACATGTGTGTACATATGTATATATATATGCATAACTATGTATGGATGTATGTATGTATGTATGTCGGTGTGTATGTATGCATGTAAGCATATATGTATGTATGGAAATGTCCTTGCCTAGGTCTATGTATATGTATGTGTAGATACATATGTATGTGTATGTGTATGTGTATATGCATACGCATATGTACACTATACGTACTTGTACATACATATGTGAGTATGCATATGTACGTATAGCTAGTGACTTCTATGTAATTCATACATTTATGCGTAGATGTATATGTCGATGCTTGAAAACTTTCATATGTATATGTAAATGTAAATGTAACTGTAAATGTATATGTATGGTATGCATGTGTATATGTCCATGCATATGCATCTGCATCTGCATATGTGTATGTATATGCACCTGCATATGTACATGCATAAGTGTATGCCTTTCTGTATATATATATATATATATATATATATATATATATATTATATATATATATGAATGGATATATACACGCCCACATCTACCGCCCCCTGGGGAGCCAGGACATTGGCCTCCAGGCGGTGGATACATTCCTGCCTCGCAAAGGAGCCCGCCGCCACGCCCCCGGTCTCGCCCGCGCCAGGCGCAGCAGCGGACGCCAAGGCCGGCGGCAAGGCGGCGGCCGCGGCCGCGGCCTCCCCGCGGCTCTCGGTGAGCCAGGAGGGGCTGCGAGCAAGAGCGGCCCTTCGCTGGAATGACCTTTGCGGGCCGCCTGCGATCCGATTCGGTCCGATTCACAGGCATCAGCTGGGACCACCCCGAAACAGGCGCGGCGAAGCGATTTCGATTCGATTTGGAATGGCCAGCTAGCTGGCGATCCGATTCGTTTTCCGATCCGATCCGATTTCGCGATTCGATCCAGCTCGGGCTTGCCTTCGGTGCGAGTCCACCGGGGTGACCCCAGCCCTGGCCCTGGGCGCTTTGTTGTGGCCCTCCCTCCGCGGCCCTTGTGGGCCGTGCACCAGGCCCAGGCGCCCGATGGCTTGATTTTATCTTCGGTGCGGGGCCCCCGGCAGCCACGACCCTCACCCCGGGGCCGGCTTTTCACCGTGGTTTTTCAGGCCTCACAGATGGGATCCGAGCAGATGGGTTTGGGGGATTGCGCCGCATCGCCGTCTTGGAGGAAATCGGGCTCCGCATGGAATCGCAGCGCTGATGCATCGGCGATGCGGCGCGGTTCTCCGACGCTATCTGCTCGGACCCTTCCAGGAGGCCTCTAGGTTCGCTATTTTTTTGGACGGCCCCGGGGCCCGGCAAAGGGCTCCAGGAGGCCGAACACGGCAAAAGACTTCCGCTACTATTGATGTCTCTGAGGACGTCGGATGTCGGGGTTCCTGGACGCGGGGGTGGTTTTCGAGTCAAGGCTCTGGTCTCTTGCGGCCGTCCGGGGCGATATGGGCACCCTCCGAACGCTCTCGGCAAGGCGCAGCTGCTGGGAAGCTTCCCGAGGCTGGCGAACCTCCGGGAACCTACGATCGGCGCCATTCAAATATACGCACTGAGACGATGTGCGCGTCGGCCCCGCAAGGGCGACGCTTACGCTCTGAAACCTTTTAGTACAAGCTCCATGGCGGGCGCTTTCTGGCCATACCGCTCGGCAAACCACATGTTGTAAGACTTGTGTGCGATATGTTCGTGTCGGGCGTCCGTCTCCAACATCACATCGTACTACTAGTATGCCGCCCTGCGTCCCGTGCAAAGAGAGAGAAAAAGAGAGAGAGAGAGAGAGAGAGAGAGACAGGCAGAAAGAGAGAAAGAGAGAGAGAGAGAGAGAAAGCGAGAGAAACAGAGAGAGAGAGATAGAGAGAGAGAGAGAGAACAAAAAAAAAGCCGTGCATGTCAGAGGTGCATTGGCACGATGGTGAAACAAGCCACTGTAGTACAGTTCCGCCGGCTCCGCTGTGCAACACGGGTGATTTCAAGACGAGCTTGCAAGCATCCGCAGAGCCAGGGCAGGCACCGAAGGCGAGGGGCGCGAAGACGTCCGAAACCTGAGGGGGAACGAGGGGTGGGGCTCTGCCCTCGATGATCGGGAATATCGCTTTTTGTTTCAACCTCCGCTGATTATTAGGTGCTGTTGGGTTTGACTGGCCCCGCTGGAACTACCAGCGAGCCCTCGAGATGAAGGGGCCTGGACCGCTATAATCTCCGCCTGCTCAAAAACAGCTGCGACACAAATGTGGCAAACGGAGTGCGATTCTGCACGGATGCTGCCTCTGGGTCTCCCATGCGAAAACGTCAGAAAATCTTGCACCTCGAACCTCCTCCCTTCCTGAGGGGGAACGATCTGCACGGGGAAACCTCTGCCTACGGGGCTGCGGCAGCATGCTTGCAACTGGATGGCGGTAGTGAGCTCACTGAAGGCGATACTTTTTCACTGAAGGCGAACTTTTTGTTCAGCTAGCTCATTGCCGCCACCCCGCTGCCTTCAGTGGGCTCATTGCCGCCATTCCTTTTGCCTTCAGTCAGCTCATTGCCGCCATTCCGATGCATTGTTATTGCCTTCGGGTGCCCCTCTTGTGCGTGAAGCCCGCCAGGAGGGCTTGCGCCCCGTGCGTGGCGCGGAGTCCGCGCCGAGCACCCCGCAGCCTGCCTTGGGCGCGGGGAAGCCCGCGGCCGGGCCGCTGCAGAAGGAGGGCACCAAGGTTCCCCGGGGGTAACTCTGAGCTGGAGTAGTGGGTCTGGTGCAAGAACTATTGCACCTCTCGCCGCGGACCCATCTGCGCCAGACGTACTACTCCAGCTTACGTAACGACAGGCCCAACCATCCCTTGATAGGGCGTTGTGTTTTCTCACACTGGGCTTCTGCTCCTGGATTCGGGCCCCAGAACCCTCACGGAGCGATCCGGGTCGACAAATCGCAGAAGGATGGAGTTCTGGGCTCTTGTCGTGAGGTGTCACGATGTGTCAACTTTTCGCGACGTCGGATCTCGTAGTCCACCGTCTTGAAGAACATCAAGGCTAATTTGTTTTGTAGTGTTTGCCTTTGTTGCCAGGCCCTTGTGCTGTCGAAAAGCGACTCGGGATGAAAAGCCGGCCCTGGGAAATGATCGGGACTTCCCTGCACCGCGTATTCAAGACGTCGCACGTTTGGGATGACAGGCCCAGGCATCAAATCAAGATCGGAGGTTGATAGAGCCCTCACCCTGCCAATTCGATCAGCGAATTTACATTTTTCGATTCTTTGGAGTGTGTTGCGGCCGTAACTTTTGCGTGTCTGCGCCCGCCGGGTCTCAGGGGTTCTGTCCACCTCGACGGGGGGTTTTCGTCGTCGTTTTTGATTCATTTCTAAAGCGGCTTACAATGAGAAGTCGGCCCTGAGGAAAGGGAGGGTCGGATGTGAGGAAGGGGGGGGGTGCTGGCCCAGGGGGGGGGGGTGCTGGCCCAGAGTGGGAAACGTCGACCCCCAATCGTTGATTCATCGCTGACCGGGGCCTGTGTGCCCCAACCTGCCCAGGAACGTGCGGTCTCGCCTTCGAGGGCCCATCGCCAATCTATCGGCGATGCATCGTCGATGGCACGTCACATCATTCACCCCTGCAGGGTCCATTTCGATCCGGGGTCGGTCGAGATCGATTACGGCCGATCCGACCCGATTCGGTTCCGACATCCCGACGATCCGATGTGGTCCGATGCTTGTATGGCGCTGTTGTACATCCGGGCGCAGCCGATCCAATTCGAATTTTGATGCCGTGCCGATGCAGCCAGATCCGACGCACATTCCAAATTTTATATGCTGACAGATCCTGCCCTGAGTCAGTCTCTGCCCATCGTTCTCCCCGTCATAGGCCCTGAAGTCCGCGCAGAGCTTCCCGAAGGAGGTGCAGGCCAAGCCGGCGAGGCCGCCGGAGTCGCCGCCGAAGACGGGTGAGGCAGAGAGCGAGGTCGGGTATCACCCAAACATGCTTGTACTATGTGTACGTCGGCCTCCCTGGGGCGGTGCGAGCGCTCAGAAATGTCGTAGTGTACGCTCGGTGGCGAGCGCTTTCTGGCCATACCGCCCAGGCAACCACATATCGTACACGACGCTTGCACTGCACGTTCGGTTCGGACTTGCGCTGCCGTGGGGGGCGCCTCGTACCCGTATGCCCTTCTGCGTCCGAAAAGGCGGAGGAGTGCGCCGCGGCCGTGCGCGCGGCCATGCACGCAGCCGAGAGCGCCGACGGCAAGGTCAATGGCGCCAGCGTGGTCGCCGCGCCGCCGCGGCCCCCCAGGCTTAGCGGGCGAACAATTCGCTCCCAGATAAGCTCTCCCGCGACCGGGGACGTCTGGCCCAGGACGGCCGGAAAGTCGATCCCCCCACCAGCCGCCGTAGGGGTAGAAACTTTGTCTCCAGTGGCGGCATAGCTTATCTTGTACGGTTCTTCGTCCGTTGAGGCTCGTGAATCTCGAGGACCCGGCTGGGGTCGAGAGGCGGGCGGCGCAGCATGCGCTGGCCGCGGCGGCCGAGGACCACGACGCCGCCGGGATACGCGGAGCGCTGCGGCGCGCGCGCACCGCCGGGGTGGAGGAGGCGGAGATCGCCAGCGCCGAGCGCGTCCTCAGCTACGAGACGCAGAGCTGGCTGACCCAGGAGGTCGAGGGCATCTGCAGCACGATGCGGCGGCTGAAGCAGACGGTCGACGACGTCGAGGCGAGGGCCGACGCGGCGGGCGGGCGGCTGCCGCCCGGCAAGAGCCCGGAGGGCGAGGACTCTTGGCTGGCCTCGCTGGAGCGGCGGCTGCAGGTGCGCGTGTGGGAGGGCCTGGAACAGCGGGTGGAGGCCGCCGTCCAGAGTGCCGTGGCACGCGCCACCCGGGAGCTGCTGGCCGCGGCCGCCGAGGCTCGAAGAGCGAAACGCGGCATAAGCACATTTTTTTGGAGCTCCGCGCGGATTTCTTGGATCGGCGCTGAGGCTCACCTGGCGGCGCCTCTGGTGCCGCCCCTGACGCCGCCCCTGGCGCTCCGCGCAGCGCCGATCCAACAACTCTGCGCGGACCTTCGATAGTTTATGTCTGTGCCCTTTCCTGTTGCTCTAGAGGTGGGCCAGCTGCGCGGGCAAGTCGCCCCAGCCGCTGGGCAGCTGCCGCCCCGCCCGCAGGTGCCCCCTCAGACACGCTCGCGTTGTAAGAAATGCAACGGGAGGCTTTTGGCCGTTTTCGGCCTCCAGGGGCCCTCATCGAGGCTCCAGAACCGTCAAAAACCGAGTCGGGATGACAAACCAGCTTTGAGGGTCTGGAGAGGCTGGAAGACCGCCGAGAACCGAAGAGGACGTCTGAAAACCTCGATAAGCAATTACGGTCCGCTCACAGGTGCCCCGCGCCGTCCCTGGCCAGTACGGCAGCCTCAGCCAGCGGTGGCGGCGCGCGGCGCGCCGGGTCATGCGACTCCGGTTCACTGCCTCGGCGCTCGGCACCGGCGACGTGCGCAGCTTCACCGCCGCCAGCGCCGTGGGCGCGCTGGAGGCCAGCCTGGCCGAGGACGACGAGTTCGAGCGCATCATGGCGCAGTGGGGCCAGAAGGTCAGAATAGGAAACGGCACCGCTACTGCTACCTTGACCTCGTTTTCGCCTGTGTGGGTCTCCTGCCTCGTCGCCACTGCCAGATTCGCCTCGCAATCCTTGTCAGAACTCGTCCTGGGAGCAGTCCGAGGAGTAGCGGTATCGGTATCCCTGGGGTATCGACGTAGTAGCGGAACGTTGCACCATCTTGAAAATCACGGCCGCAGCCCAAAGCCCCGTCTTCCTGCACCATTCTTCGAGCCCGATCGCTTATGTGAGGGCCCCGTGCAGGGCCCGAAGCCGGGCGAAGACGCCCGGCTCGAAAACGTTGAAACGTTGGGATCTCCGGGGATCTTCTGGTCTCCCCCGAAGGGCTCGAGGCAGAGCGTCGTCACCCGGGAGGGGCCGCCGCCCGCGGCGGCCGCCCGCGCCCCGCCGCCCCGCGCGGCGGCCCTGGCCGCGGAGCTGGCCGCGCCCCCGCCCAGCGCCCAGTGGCCCGGGCCGGAGGTGGTGCGCGCGACCGTCTCGCTGGCGCTGCGCGGCAGCGTCGCGCGGGTACGGGCGCAGGAGGGTTGGGGCCGGCGGGGGGGGGCTGAGGGGAGCCTTGCATGTCCTCGCAGGCCCCCGTCTTCAGAGTGCACACGTATTAGCGTGCGCTGGCTTCTGGAAGTAGATGGGACAGCGCCGTTTGGGCGTCGATTTAGCGTCAGTTGGCGTCGACCAGCGTCGGTTCGCAAGAGCCAGCAAGATGACATGGAAGGCTCCCGCGAGTTCGGGCCAGCAGAAAGACGGGAGAAATGGCCCTCTCATCACCACTGTTGGACGCGGCTCGACAAATATGGTCAGGCCCGACCCCGGGAGAGGTCTGGGACAGATTGTGAACGAATCCAGCTTAGACCCCTGGGCCGTCTCCAACAGGACGGCACCGCCCGCAAGTCCGCCGCGTCCATGACCAGGAGCTCCCTGCGGCAGGCCTACGCGACGTCGAGCAGGAGGACCCTGAGGAAGACGGTCACGTTCCCCGACGACATCGTCGCCGCCATCTCGGAGGAGGCGGGCCCTTGCTCGAACGATATCGACGCCGCCACGCGCATCCAGGCGCAGTACCGCGGGCACCGGGAGCGCGAGGAGATGACGCGGGGGCGCGCGGAGGCCGAGGCCGCCACGAAGATCCAGACGCGCTACCGCGGCCACCGGGACCGCGAGTCGGTGCTCCTGGCGGCTCTGCAAAACGGCCCTCCCCAGGATTCGGCGGCGTGCGCGGGAGCCCACATGGACGAGGCCGAGGCCGCCACGCAGATCCAGGCGCGGTACCGCGGGCACCGGGAGCGCCAGAACGCGGCGAAGGTGGCCCACGAAGACCACCTGGGCGCGACCAGGCAGGCGGCCCAGAAGGCGCTGTTCGGCCTGCTCCTGGCGCAGCCCTGGGGGCTCCCAGCGCGCATGGAGGCGCGGGCCGCGATGGGCGACGCCGAGGCCGCCACGGTGATCCAGGCGCAGTTCCGCGGGCACCGGGAGCGCCGAGTCGCGGCGGCGAGCGGAGAGGGCGGGGACGCACTCGGCGAGGCGAGATCGGCCGTGGACGACATTGAGGCCTGCGGCCGCCGGATGGAGGCCGCGAGGCTGGCGCTGCAGCAGAAGGTCTGGGGGAGGCGGTCAGCGAATTGTCTTGTTTTCGGTTCTCGAGAGTGCGTTGCGGCCTGAAGCCGGCTGGGGGCAGAGACGGCCCAGCACTGGTTCCAGTCAGCAGAAAAGCGGCCCAAGGGGCTCCTCGTCGCAACGACTGGACGCGTCTCAAAAACCTTGGCAGTGTCGACACTGGGAGGGATCTGGGAACCGATTTTGAGCGGATTTGCCCTCGCCTCTTTCTGGGCTGGCATTCTCGGGGCCCATCTGGCGCAGACCACCGGGCTGCTTTTGATTTGCGCCCGCATTTTTTGCGGGCCTGCGCCCGCTGGGTCTGTCCCCGGGTCGTTTTTTTTTTCAAGGGCGTTGTGCTAAAGGTCGTCCCGATCCACCTCCGAAGGTCGATAGCGCCGCGAGCCTGGTCCAGGCGCGGTACCGTGGGCTGTGCGGCCGCAGGGAGGCGGCGCAGAGGTCGAGGGGCGTACAGAAGCTGCAGCAGGCCTTCCGCCGCATGCAGATCAACAGGAAGGCCGGCCAGAGCGCTGACTTCTACAGGGTCGCGTTGCTGTTGCGCAAGAGGAACCAGGCGTTCGTCGACGCCTTCCTGGAGTTTGCCAGGAAAGGCGGCAGGTCAGCACGATAGAAATTGGTACGGATAGAATGGAGACTGAGACCGACAGCAGGCCCTGTCAGCCTTGAACAGGACTCGCCGTCAGTGTCGTCGCGGACGTCGTCCGTCTGCTGCCTGCCCAATAGCGGCCGCTGTCGGTTTGGAACAGCATTTGCTGTTGGGCATCGTGCCCATCATCCCCGTGCCCATCTCGGGCGTGCCGAGCAGGGACGCGGAGCAGGGCCTGTGCAGGGAGGGCTTCCTTGCCGCGGCAACGGACGTGCTCGCCAAGTCGCTGTGTGGGGCCCAGGCGGAGGCCCTGTGGCGCGGCTTCGAGGAGCCGAAGAAGAGCAAATTGCACAAGCATGGTATGGCTCAAGACCTGGCTCAAGCCGCCGGCCGCCAGCCGCCGGCCGCCAGCCGCCAGGACGCCATCCTCCTTTTCCTTTCCAGACTTCGTCTCTTTATTGGGCTGGCCTCCGGCTAGTGCCGCCGATCCGGGGGAGGTGAGAGCGAGATGATGATGGGGATCCTGGGGACGTCTTGGAGGCTTCTGGAGCCGTCTTGGGGGCATCTTGGGCGGCTTGGAGCGATGTTTCGGCGAATCGGGGCCCTCTTGGACCGTCTAGGGGGCCTCTTGGGCCTCTCTTGGCCTTTTCTTGGGCCGTCTTGTGCGGTCTGGGCTCTGGACTTGGGTCGTCTTGTGGCGCTCCTGGGCCGTCTTGGGGCCTTCGGGCGCCGTATTGGAGCCCTCTTGGGGCCTGTTGGCGTGTCTTAGGGAGCTCTGGGGCCGTCTTGGACATTGTGAAGGCCCAAGGAACGAATATGCAGAAAATATACGTTCTCCTAAGGGAATGGGTCCATTTGTCAGTCTTTGGGCATTCTTGGGAAGTGTCGTGAGGGATCCTGGGGACGTCTTGGAGGTTTTTGGAACTGTCTTCGGGGCATCTTGGGCGGTTCGAGCGATGTTTCGGCGATTCGGGGCCCTCTTGCATTGTCTAGGGGGCCTCTGGGGCCTCTCTTGGCTTCCTCTTGGGCTGTCTTGGGCGGTCGGGGCTCCGGAAGTGGAGTTTTCTATACCCCCCTTGTCCCCGGGTACCGAAAAACGTCGGAAATGACGTCGGAAATATCCCCGTGTACCGAAAAACGTCGGGAATGACGTCGGAAATAACGTACGCCCCCCCCCCCCCCCCCTGCAGAGCGAAGCCTGAGCCAGCTCAAGTCCACGCTCTCAGAAACTCACACGCCGGATCGGCGGATTTTCTGGTACCCTCACAGGGGTGGTCCTCCAGGCCTTCGCTGCGGTACTCATCTCCCCCTTGGCCGCGTGCGATCAGGAGGTGTCCAGGCAGCCAGTCGGCGTCCACATCACCAGCTTCGCGCGGATCGGGCGCCAGGTGACCCTCATCGTCTTGAAGCGCCCGGAGACGAAGGTGCTGCCAGTTGCGCTGCACGGCGAGCAGGTCGTGGAGGACTCCTGCAACGTGACGAAAATGGCGGACGTGAATGGCCAGGGGATCCTGGACCAGATGCAGGAGAAGACAACCCACTTCGTCGCAGCCCGCACTTCCGCCTCCAACGCGGAGTTGCTCTTCATCTTGGCGAAGTTACTCCACGAGTCTGGCTTCTGCCTCCGTGAACCACGCCGCGCCTCGGGTGCAGCGCTGCGGGCGCCGCGGGCGCTGTGCCGCGGGCGCCGCGCCCCTGGCGTCGTGCCGAGGCGCCGCCAGCGCTGCAGGCCCCACCGACGCCCTGCCGCGGGCGCCGTGGGTGCCGCGCCGCGGACGCCGCGCCGCGGGCATTGCGGGGCCCTCGGGGCCCTCATCGGGGTGATCTACAGCCTGAGCGTTGAGCCACTGCCTCGCAGTGACCGTCTTCCCGCACCATCGAATGCAGGGCAGCTCGTCAACATGGTTGGACGCTTCATGTGCTCGGCTTTTGAAGTAGCTTTCATGCTTGAGTCGTCGTGCCAATCATCGCGCTGACGTGTCTGGGGATACCGTGCAGGCTTTCTGGTGCATGCGCAAGCCTTTCGCGCACCAGTCCTGTCCGCTGCCGGGTCGCTCATCGCGAGTTGGGGGTACTCGCGTGCTGGGCATTTTTTTGTCGATTTGTTGTTCAGGCCTTGGTTCATTGCATGCGTATGCCTGTTGCAGGTCGGCTTGCGCGGTGTCTCCAGTTTGCTTGCCGACTTTTTGATTTGCGATGCCTTCATCTCGCGCCACCTTTCAGCCTTGAGACCCCGCCGCATAGTGGGTGACTGTTCACATACCCCATCGCTCGCAGGGCAGCTCGGCTACGTGGCTGGGCGCTTCATTTGCGCGGGATTGAAGTAGCGTGCTGGCCTCACGGTTGAGTCATCGATCTTGTCATCGTGCTGGTGTGTCGTGTCACGCGTTGTCTCATCATTATCCCGCCTATTCTCACTCCCGTTGCCTTCTTCCCGTGCCTCCTTCTTTCACCCTCGGGCCATCCGCCGCACAGCGACCGTTTGCAAGCCATCTCTTCAGGCGGGGCATTGCATGCCGATTTGTTCGCAGGCTTCCGTTCATTGCATAAGTTTGTCTATTGCAGGTCGGCTTGTGCGGTGTCCTCGGTTTGCTTGGTATTTGTAATTCGTGATCCGATCGTCTCATCGTGCTGACGTGTCCAAGAATCCCGTCTAGGGCTGCGCGTGCATGGGCAAGCCTCTCGCGTGCCAGTCCTGCCCTCTGCCAGTTCTCTCACCGTTTCTTGGGATATCCTCATGCAGGACATTTGCTTGTAGTCGATTTGTTGTTTAGGTCTCGTTTCACTGCATGGGTTTGCCTGTTGCAGGTCGGCTCGTGCGGCGTTCTCTGTCTGCCTGCTGACTGTTTGACTCACGATGCGTTCAGTGCCTTCTTCTCTTCACCTTGAGCCAACCGCCGTGCAGTGGCTGCTTACATACGCCCGCTCGCAGGACTGTTCGGCTATGTGGCTGGACGCTTCACTTGCACTGCGTTCGACGTTGTTCTGGCTTCACATTGGCGTCATCATACCTGTCATCGTGCCCGTGTCTCAGATGTCCTGCCAAGAGCGCGCAGATGTGTGTGCTGTGTGCGTGCGCGTGTGTGTGTGTGTGGGTGTGTGCGCGTGTGTGCGTGTGTGTGTGTGCGTGTGTGTGTGTGTGTGTGTGTGTGTGTGTGTGTGTGTGTGTGTGTGTGTGTGTGTGTGTGTGTGCGTGTGTTCGTGCGTGCGTGCGTGCGTGCGTGCGTGCGTGCGTGCGTGCGTGCGTGCGTGCGTGCGTGCGTGCGTGCGTGCGTGTTTGTGTGCCTTCTGGTGGGCGGCGGAGGGCCCAGTGGTGGAGACCAGGCGATCCCGTTCGGTGACGACGACCTCTGAGCTTCAAGTCCGGGGGGAAACAACAGCAACGTGTGTTTGCACCATTCTGGTGCCCTGGCTGGAGCGTCTGCCCTCCAAGGTGGACGTTTCCATGTTCCAATTCTCTTGCGCCAATCAGGTGCGCCTGGCTGCGGGACGCCCCCTGCTGCTGGCCTCCCCTCGCAACGCGCCCTCCACGCTACCGCCCCTCCCCACCCCCCCGGCGGCCCTGCCCTGCGCGCGGCCCCTCCACGGGCTGCGTGCTGGTTGGGTCCATACCGGCCCCTCCAGGCCTGCAGCGCCCTGCCGCTCCTGCGGCCTAGCCTCAGCCACCGCCCGGCTGCCCCTGTGGCCGGGCTGCTGCCCTCCCCGCCCGGTTCTGATGCGTGCGCCGGCCGGGCGGGGCGCTTCTCATCCTTCTCCTTTCCTCCACCGCCTTCTTGCTCCCCTCCCTCCCGCGCCGCCATGGTGCCGCCTGGGCCGCTGCCGCCGCGCGCTCCCAGCCAGCGCCCCCAGCCTCTGCTTGCGCCGCGTCGGCAGTCGTCAGCATCCTGGGAGTGTGTTGCGGACAGCATGTTGCTGCAGCCCATGCGCTTCGGCGCAGCCCCGTGCGGCCTGTGTGCTTTCGCCTGGACCATTCTGGTCCTGCATCCAGCTGGTACCGGCCTTCTGCAGCAAAGCCTGACGTTCCCCGGCAACGTGACAGACAACCGCATGCTCTCGCTCCTGCAGCCCGATGGGCCCTCTTCCTAGTGTACTAGTTTAGCTTGCTTGCTCTTCACGCTTCCAGCGCCTGCAGCCCTGGCTTCGGTCCTTCATTGTGGCCGTCATGCCGTCCCGCGTCCACTGCCATGGCACTTCAGCCCCCTCGCCGTGAAACGGTTTCTTCCTTCCTCTTGTCCTCTGCGGCTGCTCCTCCTCCCCGCGCCCTTCCGTGCAGCCGGACAATTGGTTTGTCGCGCCTCCCCGACCATTCGAGCGCCCGTGCAGATTGCATCTGCCGTGCTGCGACGGAAAATTGTGTGTGTATGAATTCATACCGAGCTGTGTTCCCTCACGCGTTCGGCATATCGGTTTTTGGTGGTTTGCGACAGGGCTGAGGAGGTGTCGGCCGCCTTTCTCAGGCTCCGTCCACAGCCTCCTTATGCCAAGAACGCGGGGCGATATTATAGCGTGCTTGATCAATCAGTCAGAGAGGTTCCTTTGCATTATATGTTTTAAATGCCGTGGGAGCTTCAGTCTCTCATGGCATTTGCCTTTTCGATTTGTTGTTCAGGCTTCGGTGCATCGCATTATTTCGACTATTGCAAGTCGGCTTGTGCGGTGTCCTCGGTTGCCTTCAACCTTTGGTTCGCGACACATCTGTCGTACCACGCGCGCGCGGATGCGTTTCCAGCATGCGTGTTTTATCTCCCCCTCCCTCCTCATCCTTCTTTTTGGTTCCTCCGTTCTCTTCCCTCCCATGTTGCATCCTCTGTTGACGTTCTTCATGGGCTGCCGTCGTGATGGCCCGCGCAGATGAGTCTGCGCCCGTCTGTCCCAGCCGCGGCGCGCCTGCGGCGTCGCAGGGGGAATTCGCTTGTGCCTCCCTTCCAACCCTCCCTCCCCTTTCTCCCCTCCCCTCTTTCTCTGCTTACTTGTCATTCCAACTTTAACTCAGCGGCCAGATTGCCCCACTGTGGTTTGCTGGCCCGCTTCATGAGCTCGGCCTTGCACTCGCCGAGGGTACTTTTGTCAGCACCTTTGTGACATTAGTTTTCTTGTTTCGGCTGCGGTTGTAATGGCTGCAGTCGTGATTCGCCATGGAGACGGGTCTGGGTCTGGAGGTGGCTGCCGCCGATTTGTCCAAGACTTGTTTCGTTTTTGGCTTATAGTTCGATCACACTTCGAGAGATATCTCGCCCTCGCGCGCTCCGTCTTCGACAACGCGATGTCCGGATTCCTCTTAAAGTCTTTCGGTTTCGGACGGTCGTCTTGTCACGGACCATCTCGGCTTC